TTACGGGTAAAGGGCCGGCTCAGTCTCACCGCCCCCATAGGCCCGAAGACTGATGTGCCCGGTGAATTGCTAAAGCCCTCGATTCGGCAGCGGGAGTTTGGGTGTGGACGGTGAAGCCAGCCAGCCAGCGGCCTGAGGGGGCCGCCTTGGAAATCAGCACGGCTGGCTGCAGGTGCCGCCCGAGAAGAGGCCGGCAGGCGCCCTCCCACCCCTTTATTTGAGGATGCTACAAGGGTCAGGGGGGCTAGCGTCCTTCCCCTCTCTGGGCCAGGTGACCCCAGCTCGCCACTGAATTGCGGCCGCGTAGTAGGAATGCCATGGTGGCCCTCCGCCCGCTTGTTTCCCCCAACATACCCTCTTTTGCACTTTTCCTAGTAGAGAGAGCAGGCCGTTTCTTCAGCTGGGCTTTCAGTCCTTCCCTTCTGGGCAATGCTCAGAAAAGAGCAGGCAGGAAGGAGGCTAATCTGTTCTGCCCGGTGCCAGGCCATGCTAAATGCCCATTCATTCTCCCCAGGGCCTGTGTGTGTGTTGGGAGTGGGGGCGGACCCCACTCTACAGATGTGCAGGCAGGGCCTGCCAAGTCCAAGCTTCCGCAGGAAACAGGTGGGAGCTTTGGCATGGAGATTCCTCCCGTCCGCCGCTGCTCTCTGTCTCTCAAGGCGCTGTGGCTGCTGGCCCATGCACGAGGGAGGGGAAGTGAAGGGCAGTGAGCAAGGCAGAGCCACGGCCGCAAGGCAGAGGCCTCGCCCTGGGGCAGCAGATCCCGTCAGCAGAGCCCTGGCGCAGAGGTTCAGTATTTCCATTGCACAGGTAAAAAGCTGAGACCTGTGGAGACCCAGGAGCCTGCTCTGGGGGCACTGAAGCGTCAGCTCGGGCCTCCGGACTGCAGTGAGTGGACTGTCTGTGCCAGAGAAAATGGCTTCACGGTGGGCAGTTACAGGGCACTGTCTTGAGGCCAGGCGAGACCAGAGCCTTCCATGCATGCGTTGCCACTCACCTCATGATTCAAGGGGTGTGCGAGTTGCCCCCACTTTACCGCAGGTGAGCAAACTGAGACCCAGAGAGGTTAGTCTCTTGCATCATGAATAAGAAAAGAGAAAACACTTTCTTTCGATGGGAGGGAAATTCCACTTCATCTGACGGCACGGATAAACCGGTTTTGGTTTATACATTCTGAGAAGTTCCATGGCTTGTTCATCTCAAGAGCTGCATATGCTTCCCTGGGAGCTGCCCCACCTCCCAGGCTGGATGCCAGGCAGGCCATCTGCTCCTGAGGCTGGGCCTCCCCCTCCGCTAGGCAGTGTCTTCTCCCCGAACGACTGGCCCCCGACTGGCTGCAGCCTTTAAAGAAGTTCCAGGAAAAAGATCTTCGCCAGCCTCTTCTGCAACCTAATTTTTGCTGCTGTGGGTATTGCCTTGTCTGCACAAATGGCCCTGCTAATTTTCTGCTGCTGTTCTTTGTCGAGGTTGCAGACTGCCAGGGAGGCAGGAGGGCAGGGGGGCAGGGAGGGAAGGAAGGAGCTACTTTCCTTGCACCAGCTAAGGGCCTGGCTGTGCAGGCTCCTTGACAGATGTCTCCCCATCTCCCCGCTCCACTGTCCACAGCAGCCTGGTGCTCTTCAAAAGTCATACCAGGTCACTGCCCTGCTGGCACCCTCATCTGGACCAAGAAACCCCCAGCTCCCAGGCCTGCGAGCTCCGGCTTCCTCGGCTCCTGGCCGCTCCGAGGCCCCCTCCTCCACGCAGATTCCAGATGCGGGAACCTCCTGTGCCTGGGACAGGCGCCCCTGTGTTGCCCTGAGCAGACCTGTGCCCAGGCAGCTCCCCCGTGACTCCACTCGTCTCCCCTTGACCTCTGTCCTCAGCATCCAGCCTGGGCCTCCCTGGCCGCTCTGCTGTCCAGACGAGGCACCTGTGCACCCCAGTCTGTGTTCGTGGCACTTCCACACCACACGTGTGCTGGCTCCTGAGCCGCCGCCTCTGCCATAGGCTGTCAGTGTGTGAGCAGGAACACACACAGCTCAGAATAGGGGGCCAGGCGCCCCTGACAACAAGGTAGGGGGTGCGGACTGCGGGGCGGAGAGCTCGGGACTCCGCGGCCCAGTTTGGAGTGCAGGTGGGACATATGCAGGTGGTGGCCTCTCCTGAGGCAGGTGTGTGGGGACGGAGGGGAAGGCCGGGCAAGGGAGGGGGAGGGTGCCCCGACAGCCCACTGGGGCAAAGCAGTGGAAACCCCAGGCCTGGCAAGATCCCTGCCGAATCTGAGCTCTAAACTTGGGGGACTGCAGTGGGGTCTCAGGAGCTCAGGTCTCGGGGTCGTTCAGTCCTCCTCAGCCCAGACTCGCTGACCACAGTGAGCAGCCGGCCGCAGGCCGTGAGGCTGGGTCACTGTCCGCCTGCGTAACTAACAGCCTCATGCACAGGGCAGCTGCCTTGCTCCCAAGGGGCGTTAAAGTGCCTGAGCTGCTCCTTCTGGAAACTCAACCTCTTTTGCAGATGGGGAGATATTTAGAGGTTCCAGCCACCCTCCCAGTGACTAGGGGAGTTCCAGGGGAGTTCCAGGGGAGTCCCAGATGTGTCAGGTGGGCTGATGTCATTTGTCCAAACTGAAGTCGACAGGGGACTCCGGGCATTCCCTGGAGCCCTGAAGAGGGTGGGAAGGGTTTCTCTGGGGTTTTTAGGGAAAGGGCTGGAGGATAGATGCCAGTGGTGATTTGGAAAATGAGGCCAGAGCTAGTTCTTCGTACACTGATCAGAGAATAAAATAGTAGTCTATCGAAACAAACTGGCGCAGTTCTGCCCTGACACAGCCTGACAGAGAGGCACTGTAAGGGCACACGGGGTTTCCAACCAGGGGGTTATTTGCTCAACACGTACTCGCTGGTCCTCACTCACTGCCACTTGACTGTGCGGTACTCTGGGGTCCTTCCGGCAGTAAGGTGGACAGGGCTCCCGGCCGCTTGAGCTGACTTCAGAGCGGAAGAGAGAGCCAGGAACTGAACCAGCCAGCGAGTAAGGACAGCAGCAGCAAGCTGGCGTGTAGCAAGGGCCCCGCGCAAGCCACAGAGCTGTGACTGACGCGGAGCGAGGCCAGCGCGGGTCAGAATGGCCTGAGTGCGACGGGCCGCCATGAGAGATCTGGGATAGCCCACTCGAGAGGGGTGGCACAGCCGAAGACCTGGGTTGGGGAGAACTGGGTGCTTTTACTGAAGAGCATCCTGAGGAAGGGAGCGGAGCCAGGGACGTGGCCAGAGCAACTGTCCAGGCACAGGATGGCTGGTGTCCTGAGCCCGGGGCAGCCCCTCGGAGACCTGAAAGCAGGCAGTGGTGTGCTCTTACCTATGTCTTGTCAGCTCACCGCGTGACTGGCAGTTTACTTCTCTGAATTTCATTTGTGTCTGTAAATAACATACACTCACAGTAATGATCAGGATTGGAAATCTTACATGGGGGCCCTCCCTGGTGGTAAGGACGCAGCACTGCAGGCTGCCCGCAGCCGCTTCAGTGCGAGTTCGATCCCCACCTGCCCTGGAGGTGACCCACAGGGCACGGCAGACCTCTCCTGGCCCGCCCGCTGCTCTCCTCAGCAGGATACTTCAGTCAGTCTGCTTGTTCTGCTCCCCACTCTGTCTGGTGAATCCTCTCACCGCCCCTGCACCACTGGCTTCTACCCCAGTTCTGTGTGCATAAAAATTAAATCTTTAAAAAAACGAAAAAGAAATCTTGCATGGGGAGTTAACAAGAGCTAACACAGACATAATGCTTAGTAAAATAGCAACTGTGTTCTCCTCTTCCTCCTCCTCAGCATCATTATTGGCACAAGTTGGGTGGGTGTGGCTCAAGCGGTCACTGCTGACCTGAGGGCCCCCGCCCCCCACCACTGTGGGCCTTACGCCAAGAATACAAGTCTTGACGTTTGGAGGTGTAAGAATCTCGATGCCTCAGATTCTCTTCATAGCCCCCTGCCCAGGGTCTGACTCTGACCAGGGAGAAACTGGGGTGAGCCGTGGCTCCCTTTGTGTCAGAGTGGCCACGACTCAGTGAAGTGTCCAGGGTGCCTGGACACCAGGCTGCATTCTGCTTCCAGCTCCTGAGGCTTCTCTCTGCGTGGATCCTGGCTGCAAAATAGAGCTGTTTAGTTTAAAAACGCTCCACCTTCCTCATCCACCCACTCATCCATTCGTCCAAACTGCCTGCACAGTGCTTCTTGAGTTCAGAACTCAGGAGCAAGAAGTCTTTGCCTGCCCTCCAGCAGGTCCGGTCAGTGGGCTGGCTCGCTGTTCTCCCTGCTGCAGCAGCGGGAGCAGAGACCTCACAGAGCCTCCTGGACTAAACTCGCAAAGGAGCAGGGAGTGTGCCTGACGGAGAGGGAGGAGGAGAATAAAGTGCAAGCGCCGTGTGGCAGTTAGGATCCTCCAGCTGGTGACAGAGGCACAGTGACCCCATGGTGGGGGTTCAGGGCTCACACAGGACACCACTGGGCCTCGGTGTCCCTGGGCGCCGCTCTCCTCTGTGGGTTGGCTCGTCCTTGGCTGTGGCCAGCCTGCTGGGCCACCCTCGCTTCCCAGCCTGGATGGCCCCAGGCCAGCGGGAACGTGAAAAGGCTCCTCCTGTCTGCAGAGGCCCAAAGCCAGTCAAGCCTGCCCCTCAGCCAGGCGGTGGCCCTGACTGGCTTCGGCCTGAGCGGCCATGAAGGAGCTGCCACGGGCCCCACCCCGCCTGGGACCCTCACAGCCGCCTCGTCTCCTGGTGGCAGCTGTTACTGTTGAGGTTTCCAGGGGAGAATCGGCGCTCGGGGGCTGGCTGCTTTGCCTGAGATTCAGGCTGCATTCTGTGTGGCCGGAGTCCAGCATCGTGACAGCACACCCCTTTCACTCTACTGCCATCTTTGGCCGCAGACAGGGTCCTCGCGTCCTGGAGATGCCCCAAAGCCAGGCTGCTCAGGCTGCAGCCCCCGGGTGCGCGGCCTCCCTGACCAGGCTCCTCTCTTGTCCGCGCAGGGCCCTGGTCTTTGTGTCCCACGGAGCCGGAGAACACTGCGGCCGCTATGACGAGGTGGCCCAGATGCTGGTGGGGCTGGAGATGCTGGTGTTCGCCCACGACCACGGTGAGTACCCCAGGACCCCCGGGCCCAGCCAGGCCCGCCCACCCTTTGGCTGCCGCTTCCTTCTCCCTGGCCCACTTCCCCGCCGCATCTCCTCCCTCCACTCTGCTCTTCTGATTCCTGCCGTGAACCCAGGGAAGGGCATTACCTGTGCGGTGCTTCTTTTCAAGACTACATTGTTCTGCGAACAAAAACTACGTGTGACCAGCTGTTTCTCTTGAGTGCGGGGTTGAATGTAGTCTGAGCAGAAACCTCAGCTGAAGAAACCGGAGTCAGACTCTGCTCAGGACAGAACTTGCCCCAGGCCAGGCCATCCTCTCTAACGTTGTGAAAGTGCTTTCTAGACCAAATGGGCCTGGCTTCTCCCAGGGGGCTTCGTGGGGACCAGGGGCAGCCAGTGCAAGTGCAGCTTGAGCCCCAGCTTATCGTGGAGAGGGTGGCGTGTTTCAAAGCATTTCAAACCAGCACAGTAGCCAAGTCTCAGCTTTCCATACTGGCCACAGGGAACCCCATATGCAACACAGACATACCCACCGCACACACATGCATACAGGCCACACGCCACACACACACACGCACACATATGCTCTCATCCTCGTCAAGACACAAAAAGCACAATTACCATGAAAATGCAACGTTCATCGCCCATGTCAGTTTAGAGCTGCTGCATCATCTTTGTGACATTTCCCATGGTTGGGAAGACTCCCAATTTAGAGCTTTCTTTGCTGACAGTCTTTAAGATGCAGAGTTCCCTGTGATGAAACATGGTGATTTCTCCAGAGCACCAGTGTGGAAAGCTATCAGCCTGGCCTAGATCCAGAAATGCTGCTTCCATTTTATCTAATTTGAAAGTTGAAAATTAAAGTGATGTTGTTGAAAGAGGGAGAGGGGAGCAGTGTTGGGGCCCAGGGGCCCTGGTAGCAGGAGGGAGTCCCCTCTGAGGGGCCCTTGGCCCGTGGAGAACTGCAGGTCTGGCTCACCGAGGGCCCTCTGAAGCCAGATTCATTCAGGTGTCCTCGTAACTGAGAACGTTGACAAAATGCTTTCCTGTGATGGCTGTGATGTCCCTCAGTGTTTTGCGAGGAGTCCCAGTGATATTCCTGATGCTGTTTGCGAACTAATATTTGAGGAGTGCCCTGGCTGTCCCCAGAGGAGGACTGATCATTATTAACGCTGGCACTTCTTACGCTGTGAGGCTCATGGTGGGAATGGCTTTTTCCTGTTGGGCCTGTCTCCTTTCAATTGTGTTGCTTCTATGCATCACTGTAATCTTTGAACTGAACAATATTAGTTTGAACATTGTCAAACTAAAGCAGATTTATTCAGCTAACCTCCTTAGGCCATTTTGGTTTACTTTGTATTCGCTAACTGAAAGAAATCTGAAGAAGACATTTGCTTTTCTGAGAAAAGGTGAAAATCAAAGACACAGAGTTTGTGTCATTGGGCAGCAGGGTCCTAGAGGTGGGGTGCCCGGGGCGGCGAGGGGCCCCCACTCGCTCCCCGGGAGCTGCTTTATCACCCCATTGCTACTTTTACTATAGGTGAGTGTTATTTTAGGTTTTGTGTGTTTATTTGGTAGGGTCTGAAAACACTCAAACTTTTCCATATAAATGAACTGCTTCTCCATTTTTTGCCATTTTGACTTATGAAAGGTTTCACAGGGAACCTTTTGTATATCAGGGGAAGCCTGAATTATGCTAATACTAACCATCTACAACTAGAATTTCAAATCTGTTTTGTATCTTGGCATCAATTACTTTTTTATCAGAAACCTGTGGCCAAATCTGTGGAGGCAGATAACCCATTTGCCTTATTTGTCTGGCTGCGGAACTTGGTGCAGCACTTCTTAAAGGCTTCTTTTTATAGAGTAAAGGGAGACGAACAATAACCCACCTCTCGATGTTTCCAGAATAGCATCTAAAATTGAGGTACAGCCCTCTGTGACATTCTAAATATAGAATAGTTGTTTATGTTCACCTGTGTTAAGTGCTTTGATTTCCAACTTTCTCCCAATGACTCACTGGAGAGCTCGCTACCAGTACCAAAGGGAGGCGCTTTATTCAAGAATGAGCCGGTTGGATGTGTGCGATTTGGCTGTCTGTAGATGCAAGTAGCTGCAACTTAGTGGGAGAGAGTGGGGTGGTCGCAGTATCACATGGCCACCCCAGCTGCAAGGGAGGGAGGGAAGTAGATGGTGTTAACTGCATATGTGCTGGTTTCTCTCTGTTTTGAGAGCAGCAGGGGACGGACATCACCATAGCCGCGTCACCAGCCTCGTCACCTAGGCGAGCCCCTGTACAGCCTTTCTGGGTATGACAGATAACTCGGGGTCACCTCTCCGTCTTATCCACCGCTGGATTCTTTCTTAAGAACAGGTTTCCGGCCCTCCCTGGTGGCGCAATGTGTTAGAGCGCAGCACTGCAAGCTGGCTGCAGCCACCTCAGTGCCAGTTTGATCCCCGCCCCGGAGGTGACCCACATGGCGTGGCAGACCTCTCCTGACCCGCCCGCTGCTCCCCTCAGCAGTGTACTTCGTCGATCTGCCTGTTCTG